GTGCCCGTCATGGTAGTGATATGTACTTTATTTTCGATCCATGACCGTTCATTTATTCATTCAGACGTCTGAGCGTACCCTGCATCCCAGGCAGTACCTTAGGACGTGAAGGTGGGGCGGTGAGTGAAACGCTCGTCCTCTTGGCTCTCATGGTCATTTTCGCAAAGAGAAGAAGCAGGCATCAAACACGATGCCAGAAAGAGCTCTTTACAGGGACAGTTAAGGCCAGAGCGATGACATGGCGAGGACAAGGAGAGCACTGGACACAGCTTCCCAGGGGAGATTCCCTGTCCACCTTGGGGACCACAGAGAAGTGAGACAAGTAGCCAGACAACTGGATCAGGCCCGCTCATGCCCAGCCTGGTCCGCCATGGTGGTCATGACCTGGGGCTCCATGTTCATCTCCTTGGAAAACCACGGAGGGTTTCAAACCAGGGCAATAGGATCATCTTGTGTCCCAGACACGTTCGCTCTGGTTGTGGAACAGGGAGGCCTGGGCAGAGGGTGAGCCCTGCAGGCCATTGTCAGAGAGGTGGAGCCCGGCCACGGTGTTGGAATGAGGAGCAGGGGTGGGTGGGCTGAGGTCTAGACAGGAGGTGAGGCTAACAGGAAGGAGCTTCATTTCTGTCCACTTCACCGAGTGGACGGAGGGGCCGTTGGTGAGACCTCAGTGGGGTTGGGGGCTCGGATCAGCTGTGAGTCCGGAGATTTTGACACGCCAGAGAAACCCCACTGCGGTTCTCACCGCTACCAGAGCTGTCCTCTGGACGACCTTTATGTTCTTATAGGACACGTTCAGGTCCCTGAGCCCCGGGGACTCCTGGGCTCCCACATGATGGGGTGTTCATCACCTGGGGAGAGGAAAGGAGAGAGGCCGCAGTGAGTCCAACTTTCTGTCCTCAGAGGGGAAGAGAGAGATCACAAGTGAAGGAACAAAAGAGGCGACCTTATTCCTTCCTTTCCTGCTGCCTGTGAGACAGACAAGATAAGCAACGAGGAATCATCCTTGATAAAGTAATTGGAAGTGGGGCTGCCGGAGGTGAAAAATGAGACTCCCGCATGGAGGTTAGCTTTCCTTCCAGCCTCAGAAACCTCTTCTCCCCCGTTTTCTTTTTCTTGCCCTTACTGAGAGTCTTGCCTCCAAATTTCAGAATCGTCGCCGGTTTTGTAACACACAGTTGAGCCTGTCTCTCTCTGACTGTGCTAAGGGTGTGTTATCCACGATTTCCCTTCTTTCTCGCAGTGGTTGGGTTTTTGTTTTGTTTGTTACCATTTATATTTACTGTTTTAAACCTTTTTTGTCTTAATGTGTCGGTTTTATCTTGCTTAGCTCTAGATTTTAAGAAGTAGTCGTTCCCTTCTTCACTACTGGGCTTGGAAGCTCAGTGTCAACATGGTCCTTTCTGGGCATCACTGGGGTCTGCACACCGGGTCTTCATTCCCCGTCCGGCTCGCCTGCATGGCTAATGTAGCCTTGAGCTTGGAAGTCCAGAGTCCAGGCTCTAGGAACCAGAGCTGAATCCAGCTCCTGAGGCTGACTGGAGGTGTGACATTAGTTCCCTCGGGTTCCTCCGTAAGGTGGAGATGGTGGTGATAGGAGTCTGTCAGCACGTCTGTGAGAGTCGAGGGAGATGCTGCGTGCAAAGGCTCAGGAGTGCCTGGCGTGGGGCATGGTGCCTGCGTGGGGCTGCCCACTGGCATCCTGACCATCCTGGGCTCACGTTTCCTGTGCCTCATCTGCCCCTCTGGGCCATCCTCTCCCTCTTCTTGGAACACCTGGATTTTGAAACAAGATAGGTATTTAAAGAGGCACTCACATTGACTCAATTTAGGTCCCCAACATGACTTGGACAGGCAGAGGCTGCTGTTGGCATCTGGTGGGGGCCCCATGAGAGGACTCGATGGTCGATGGGAAATTTCAGGTGAATTCCGGGGGAAAATGATACAGTACAAACAATTTAGGAGATTGGGCTCTAGGGAGAAGGAGGGGTGGTCAGCATGGCTACTGAGCCAAGGGAAAGGGTATATTGCCCACATGATCAGGGGTTCACAGTGGACCCAGACTCATGGGTTGCCCCAGACACTGCCAACAAAGGAGCTAGCTGTAAAGGCCACCTCTGGGAGGCACACAGATTCCAGATAAGGGACAGGTCAGGGAGCCTTTTATCCGCGTCACCGTTTCCATTGGCCAGTTGGAACGGAGCAAGAAGTAGCACCCGAGCCGCGGAATTCGCAGCCACCACGCGTGATTTCAAGAAACGCTCAGAACTGATTCAGATGGCGTCTATCTAAGCCACTTTCACTTGGATGGGACTGAAACTTGGAACGCTTCTTAGTCCAGATGTAATTTATTTAAATTCCTTTCGTTGTTTTTCAATTTAGAAATAGGCAGAGACATAAAATTTCGCATGTCTCACATTCTTTCCCCCCTGCACATTTATGAATTGAAATTAGCCAGTTTATTAGTTGGCTCTTCTTAAACTGGGAGGAAAGCTCTCATTTCTAATGAGAAGAGAGAAGAAGCGTGATTTCCGGGGGACAAAGTCCTTCCTGCCCTGGAACCGATGCTTGGTGGGGCCTGTTGCCTTACGCTGGATTCGGCCCGTCTAGAGGCTCCAAGTCAGTCTCACCAAGTATGTGCCCGGGCATCCTTTCTGAGGACATCTGTCGTCATTCATGGTGACAGTTACACTCCACAACTACAGCTGTAGCCTTCCAGCACAAGGGTTGGACCATCCCTGCTATTGTTCTCTTCCTGGGGGGGGTTGCCCCCTTACCTCCCCTGCGGCCCCACTTTTTGTTGTGCGGGACACTTGGTCGAATGCTCTGGTTATTTAGATCTTCTGAGGGTTTCGGCTTTCACCACCAAATGCCTGCGTGTGGGTTTCTCCACGGGAGGTGTTCTGTGCACATCCACTGGCCATATGACATTCCGAAGATGTATCTTTAGGAATTTGGCCTGGAATGGTTTGAGCATCCAAGTGCCTGCAGCATCCGGGATTTATGAGACTGGGTGGGTAAGACCACAGTCCGACCACCCTCTGCCTCTCAGACGCTGTGAGGGCATGACAAAATGGCGGAACGGAGCGTGACCCCAGGTCTCACCAGTGATGAACTCAAAACCCCTGCTTGCAAGAGTCCTGAGGTGTTCTGGCTGCCATCACCAACTCTTTGGCTTTATCACTACCCTGGTCAAGAATTTCCAGTGGATTCCTATTGCAGTGGATTCTGTGAAGATAAGACATTCAACATGTCTACCACTGTCTCTCCTCACAGCTTACGGTAGACATGGAACATAAAATTTCCAATAAGAAGTGAACGATACGGGTCTTTATCAGCCAGCACTAATTAGGTAGTGGTACAACAACAAACAGCTCCCATGCCTCCACTGCTTGAGCAACAGAGTCTCTCTTTTTCACTATCTGCATCCACCAAGGAAGATAGGGGAGAGAGACTCTCCTCATTGGTATCTCAGGGATCCAGGACGATCCTGGGGCTAGTCTCTGTTCTGAGGCAAAGAGAGATCTGGAAAGTGTCGCTCCAGCCTCAGACAATGCCATCAGTTCTTCTGACCTCTCCAGGCTGGAATGTGGTGACCACCCCACCAAGAAGGGATGAGTAAGTGCAGGTCCACCGTGGTGGGGGGGTAGCACGCCCAGCCCTCCAGAGGTGCGACAATATTTTGTTCTGAGTCGGGGGAAGCTAACAAGTGACCTTAACGATCAGTATTTGCTATAAGGACAAATGGTCACTGAAATGAAATGGACTGGGCTGTTGAGTTATAATGTGTTTGGCCAGGAAAAAAAAAAATGGAACTAGTTGTTCCAGTCTTCCCATCATTTTTTTTTAAATTCTCAATAATGTTTATCTGTGTACCTGAAACATAATCCATACGTTTATGCTTCATGCTGAGTGAGA